TGTAAGGCCACAACCGCATCGGTGTAAGGCCACACCCGCATCTGTGTAAGGCCACACCCGCATCAGTGTAAGGCCACGCCCGCATCGGCGTAAGACTACATCTGCACCGGCGTACGGCCGCACCCGCATCATTGCCCGATAATAGATACTCTGATGACAAAGACACGGCGTATTTGCTTGCATTCTCCATGGGCCAAAGGTCTTGACGTGTCCTTGGAGAGAATATGTCACCTTTCATTACCTTCCTTTTGCGGTCAGATCAGACGCGTTCGTTTTGATTGGTAATAAAAGTATTCCCGAAATCCCTCTCAATGCCATAGCATTTCTATTTAAAGCAGCTGCTCCCGAATTACAAATCTCATTTGACTCCCTCCTCACTACCGTGACAATTAATACATTCTAGTTGCCTTGCCTTTTCCAGTGGATGTGTTCAACAATGTTTGCAGCACACTAACCGCTAAAATGCTCATGTGAGAACTCCCAGCCAATGACCTACCGCCCCTTTTACAGTGGGCGCATCTCTCGTCGTCTTTATCCTGCTGGGGCTATACTAAGGAGAGTGGCTTGTTTGGTCTCCGGATTTGCTTGTCGGTTTCCCGTCGTCCTTGCTCGCACTTTTGTCCGCCTTTTCTTCTCACCGCCGTGCACGGCAAGTGTGAGAAATGCAAGATTGATTTTTCAGACTCTTGTAGCCCGCTGATATGACTCGTCCTCGGGCTTGATCCGTGACCGTTTGTGGGACTATGTCTCCCCTGTTTTGCCGTCGGCCCTGCTGAGCCCGCTCGCCCCCAGCTCACGGGGCGTCTGCTCGGGGCGGCCGGCTGTCTCCCTCGCCAGCCCTTGTCGGCCAATATCTCCGCGACACGCGCGGTCGGCAGGACCGGTAACGAGGCCGGCCGCCATATTACCCTGATGCCTCATGGTATCTGATTCTGTAAAATGCACTGCATGACATTCAAACACGTGCATAGTGCAGCTCCAAGCGAATTTCGAGGTTTATTTTTCGGACGAGATGCACACGTGTGTTTTCTTGTGGTGTGCTGCTACGTGTGAAAGGCGTGAAAAACCGACTGAGTTCCTTATGCATGAAGGCAGCTGCTTACGTTCCCGGCGTATCGCTGTTAAATGTTGCGACGAAAATACTCTCCAAGAAGCGTGGTAACCCAAGCCAATCCCACAGCACCCCGAGAAGCGTGATGACACCGTTCCAGTCCCATGGCATCACCGGAAGCACTTGCAAAGAGTAATAGATATATAGTAGAAAGTACTTTTGATAGCTCATTCTGTTCATAGCCGTCACGGGCGACATTTAGTCACCCAATGTCAGCGTCTCTCGAACTTCGTAAAATATGAAATGGATTAGCGGTTTATCTGTCTTGGCACTGCATGCTTCAAGCGCTTGGCAAGCAACACACGTTTACACACAAGGAAGCAACGCAGCCATACAAGTTACATAGCTACATGTCAGAGCAACATATGACGACAGAGCGACACGGAAGAGGAACGACCATTGACATTTGCAGGCTCCCGTGAGTTGTGACTTCTTCAGGTACGCGCACTTTTCTTAAACGTGTACCCCAAAACACGCAGACAGGGCCTCCTGCTGGGCGTGATGGTGTGGGCAGGATATTGGCTCTCTCCCGACAATAAAGTCGGCTGCAGCCTGCTGTATTGCTGTGGTCTCCTCGGTGACCAGCCGAGGCCTTCCTGGCGGTGGGCGGGCGGCTGCTGCCGCGTCGCATTGGAAGCGCTATTGTCTAGCTCACCGCCTGCCGACACTAGTGCTGGCGGATGTCCTGCGATCTCTCACCGCCACTCGGGCAGCAGGGCCGAGTCGGACGGCGGTAACTGTCGGCTGGCAGCTGGTCGCTGGTGCCGTTGCCCTGGTTACGGCACCAGCGTCACCAGCGGCAGAGCGATGTACTTGTGGAGCGGTGTCTTACTGTGCCGGTGTCTTGCTATGCCGTTTACGGATATAGTTGCACTTTTCGTAAATCTGCGTCCAGTGAAACCGGTTGACACTCCGCCACTCCAGACTGCTCCATCACCGTACGATACTGGTAGCTGTTGATGCGACCCAGGATGTACTCGGACGCCGCACGTTGCCGCACACCGGTCACAAGTGTGGTCCACGCGGGCAGCCGGCTCACCGGTGCTGCTGCCACGGCGGGTCAGAGGGCGCTGGAGCCGGGGCGGAGCTTTTTTTTCACCATTAGCCACTGCCGCTCCAGGACGACCATGCCGGCGAGGCGCGACGACGTGCCGGAGGAGTCGAACACGTTGTGCACCTGCCGGGCGGTGGCCACGAAGTGGGCCATCACCACGGCCACATATCTGCGACAGACACATCTGCACGCGGCTTCAGATACATGCCAACTCAAAAACACGGCGTTTCGCTCGAACATCGCGGACGATGACAAGTAGCCACATGTGGCGGATACATTGACACCTCGGGGCTGTACAACCACACCGACATTGACGATGTTGGCTACCTTGGATTGATACCGAGTGAAACGTGAAGACTGAAGAGGCTGGCAGGTGTGCACTTACCCCTACACCTGGAGGCCGTTCCCGACGGCGTATCCGCAAACTTATGATATCTATAGCTACTTGACATTGTTGTTTACAAGCTGACAAGATCGCGTTGTAACAGAGCGACAACTTTGGACACAGTCAATCAATGTACAAAAGGTGACGTTTTCCCTCTTTTTTTCTTTTCCGAAACAAAGTGGCTTACGGGCTGTTTTACCAGTTTTCCAGATGTGAGTAAAAAAGGCGTGTCTGAAATGTCTTAGTCTTTATTTTTCACCGTTTGGTAAGGCATCGAAATGTGACTCGTATGTACCATGTAGCTATTCCCGGCCCTGGCGGCCATAATGGCCTTATCTCACAAGATAGCCACTTGATGTAAATGTTACTGTACGGCGTAAGGATGCGTTTATTTCACTTTTGCATTGATTTGGGGCATTCTGCTGGACAAGAGGCGGGCGTTCAAGGAGTTAGGCGTGCTGGAATGTTTTAAAGACGATGAAATAGTCACTGACACACTTACGTAGCATGTAGATATTCCCGATCACCGTTCTCGTTCCCGTTACCGGTGTTATCCTGTTTCACGTGATCGGTGAAAACTGCAGATGCGAACAGAAAGTAAACGATGGTTTCATGTTTCTGGATGTTATTGCAACGCACATTCAGTCACTGAGATCTGTGGACTTCAGAACTCTCCCTGCCAAAGATGTGGTACAATAAATATAGTTCTGTATGTTAACATGCCAAACACGTACACTACGAAAAAACGATGAAACTTCAATGAAACCAAAAACAAAAACCATGAAAAAGAAAATTAACGGCCGTCTCTCTTGTACAGACACACGCAAAAAAACACACACAAACACACAAACACACACTTATGAACTACTCAGTTTGTACACTTTTCTGAGGTATTTACATTTTTCATAAATCTGGGTCCGGTTAAAGCGGTGCAAGCATTCAGACACACCGGGTTGTTCGACAACCATGTGGTGGTGGTACGCGTTGGTGCGGCCACAGATGTAATCGGAGGCCGCACGCATCACCGCATTGGTTTCGAGTGACGTCCAGACCAGCCGTCGGATCACCGGTGGCGCGGTGACGCTAGCCCGGGGGGCGCTGGGCTGGGGTGTGGTTAGGGCCGGCAGAGGCGAAGTTGGGGAGGAGTTCCCGATGCCGTGCTGGGGCGATGGTTGTCGGCTGGCAGCCTCTGGCTGGTCTTGAGCAGCGAGACTGGCAGGCATAAGGCCGGCCACGTCTTCCTGCCACCCCACCGGCAGGGCCGCCTCGGAGGGCGGCACAATGGAGCCGCCGTCGGCCGGCAGGTCGTCTTCTTCGCTGCTGCTGCTGCTGCTGACTGGTGCTCTGCCGACGTCGTCACCGCCGGGACACGCGTCGACTGGGGGGCTGGAGCCGGTGCTACTTGACGCCGGCGGCACGCAGCCGCTGCCGCTCGAGCCATGCCGGCGAGACGGGACGTTTTCCCTGTGACGTCAAAGACGTACACGAGCGGTGGCCAAAGACGCGGTGGCCACAGAGTGGCCCATTGCCGCGGCCACGTCCCTGCAACAAACACAATTGCATGCGGCTTCAGACACATGTCAGCTCGTAAAGCGCGGCGTTTCGTTCAGGTATAGCTGACAATGACAAACGGCTGCATGTGGTGGCTACATTGACACATCGGAGCAAACACACCGACATTGGCCATGTTGGCTACCTTGGGGTGACACGCCGGGTGAGACGCGAAGAGTAGAGGCTGGCAGGTGTGCACTTACCCCTGCGCCTCCGGCTCTGCCGCCGCCGTGCTCACGACGGCGCCGTAGTACGCGCCGCTGGCGGTTAGGTCGGAGACGTCCCCGTCCGGCAGGGCCCGCCGCCATGCCGTCTTGAACGCCTTGGCGGCGCTACTGCTGGACATCGGGCCGCCGCCCGTGCCGATGAAGAGCTGTGAACAAACAAATAGCTTGATCACACAGGTGAGGGTGCAAGGCGCACCTGGTTGTCCCTGACAACACTGTAATCGGTCCGGCGTCTGCTGCCCGGTATCTGTGCATACCCTGTCGCTGCTGGCGGTGTCCGGCGTCAGCAGCACCGGTCACTCCGCAGAGATGTGGTGCAGCAGCCGGCGCCACAACTTGGGGCTGACGGCCACCTCTAGGGTAGCGCTGGCCGCTGTTTTGAACTTGTAGTTTTTGGTGAGCCGGCGCAGCTGGCCATCGGGGCGGACGATCTGCAGACACGCATGATGTTCCGTTCAAACCATCATTTCAGCAACAGACACGACAGACAGTAGATAGATCGACGCAAAACAAGTGGCGCGCAACAGTCAGTCAGACATCGGCCAGCCAGCCTGCTCACCCTGGCCTCGGGCACCGAAGAGGCGGCGATGCCAGTGACGTTGCTGGACGCCGAACAATGACAGCAGCTGGGCTAAGACGGGACACGGACGGTACTGACACATATATCACGAGACAAGCGCCACACATGAACATTACTCACAACCGCATAGCGGCAGTCAATCTCTTACGCTCAGGAAGCACTGCTCGACTTGCACGTCGACGAAGCGTGCCGCCTGGGTTTCGTGGTGCCGGCGCTGCTCCCAATCGTCACGTTTCATCGAGCGCTGCCATGCCGTCAGCCGCTCCTGCACGGCCTGTGAATTACGTGTCATTAGCGAACGGTGACGATGACGTGACAGACAACACAATCGACACATCACCTGTTGATGGCACTTACCGGCATGCGCGGCAGCCACGCCTGCAGACCAAGATTTTCGCAGTCTATTGCGCAGTAGGTGATGAGCAGGGACACGCAGCGGATCGAAGATTTTCGCGTGCCGGCTGTCATCTTGCGGGCTCGCTGTTGGGCTTGCAGCCAGCCGTCTGGCCCCTCCATGGCCAGCTGGGGGCCGGAGAGGGCCGCCATGATGTTCGGCATCATCATGTTCTCCGCACGACGGCCTGGGAGCAGCTCTGGCCGCAGGAGATGGAGCTGCAGACGAGGCTGCATTAGGCACCGCAGTGACCCGACAGCTCGCCGCCAGCACAACTCTGAGCCCCGCTGCATGGGACGGATCAGGCGGACGAAGCTAACACAAGATGACACGCAAAACACGAGTGACAACAGATGGCAGCAAGTAAATGGAAGCAGACCGGCATCGGTGGCACTTACCGCCGGCATGTGGCGCTGCACCTTTGTTGCGTTGCAGAAGCCACCCCGGACCCCACGCAGGAACATCGCGAAGCGGTCCGAGATGGCCTCCAGTCCCACCAGTGGCTGTTCAGACTTCGCCGATACCATGAGGTCGATTCGTTTCGCATTACTGTGTGCTCCCCATTATTCCCATGTGGCTGGGGATCCACATAAATGTGATACGACAGGAAGTGCTGTCCAGCCATTCCAATTCCTCCCAAATTGAGCGAGTCAAAAATGAGTGGTCACGCTTTGCTGTTGTTGTTGATTGGTGTTTTCGGGCGCGCCGACTGCGGTGGTCATTTGGCGCCCATAACGATGTTTGCTTTACCTAACTAATGGACCGTGTAAAGAGTCCCGAAGTTGATATGTTTAAGGAAAAGAAATACCTGTTTAGATTCAAGAAGGCGCGAGTTGTCTCCTAAGATGTCACAGAGTGTCAAGGACGAGTCACGCTGTCCAAAGTATCGTCGACGTTCTGCCATGAGGCGCGGACATGATACAAGCACATGACGAACGGTGAGAACAGCACCACATCGACGACAGATAGGTCTTTCGGCTCCTTGCAACAAATAACCGTGCTCTGCAGACTACGCATGGGCATACGTATGCCCAATGCGTAGTCTGCAGAGCACCACCTCTTCTTGTCTGACTTTGCGAGAACATGATAACCACTGGCCCAGCTTGGGTTTTATTGCTCTGGGCTTGTTTTCATTTATTGTTGTTGTTGATTGGGGCTTTAGGGCGCGCCGACTACTGTGGTCATTTTGCGCCCATAACAGCAAAATGGCTACCTACGACGGTAAATGACTACAAAATATATATTATTCGGAGATGAAAATGGCTGATTTGTGTGAGGAGCGCGTCATCGATACGAAGCTTTCGGCAACCTAAAAACTTCCTACACGCGGTATAAACTATTCAGGCAGGTGTATATAAAGTGCAGAACTTAACATGCGATACCAACTTGAGGGTATGTTGGATATGTGGTGAGCTGTCACCTAGTAAATCGGAGAGCGTCAGGGACGGCGCCGCCGGGCCAAAGAACCTCAGACGCTTGACGCGTAGTATGGGACAACATATGAGCACATGTTCCACTGTGAGCGTGGTGTTGCAGCGGCGACATAGTGGTAGTTCGTCGTGACATAGTAGGTATCGATGTGTAGCATAAGTATGGCCAATCCGCAACCGACACAGGATTACTTCCTCCCGTCTAGACTTTCGATAGGATGACTGCCATTCCTGAACAACTGGCTTGATGCTTTTCAGTTTAGTGGTGTCCATCGCATCCCATGTGCTCTGCCATTCCCCGCGCAAAAGGGCAGAGATGGGCGAGTACAGGTCTGTAGCGGGTATCGGAAACGCTCTGCGACAGGGACGACGAGTAGCACGCTTTGCAGCAGAGTCAGCCAGCTCATTTCCCGCAATGCCAACGTGGCTCGGAATCCAGCAAAGTACTATCGTCTTGCCAGCCCGGTACAGAGAGTCGAGACGCAGTAAAACGTCCTGTATATGGGGATTTACCGGATTAAAACGCCTTAGTGCCGAAAGGGCACTTAGGGAATCCGATAAAGTCACGTGCAGACTGTCTTCGCCCACCTCTATAAAGCAGAGCGCCTTAATGATGGCCACAAGCTCTGCAGTATACACGGACGCATGGGCTGGCAGTGTAAATGATCGCGTATCGGGACCACACACAAAAGCGGAACCGACACCCGTATCCGTTTTCGAGCCGTCTGTGTACGTAATTGTGAATCCCCGATATGTTGCGATATGCTTCAAAGCTGTTGATCTGGCAACGTACGGGATCATATTTTGCTTCTGAACCTCCGACAATGAGACGTCGACAGTTGGCGATACCATCACCCACGGGGCGGTCGGCAGGCTACGTGGGCGTGCCACACCCCGAAAACTTAAGCCACTCTCAAGAAGAACATTACGAACACGCACACAGAACGGCGCCACACGTGTTGCTTGTTCGGACTGAAAAACATTGGATATGTGGCGTGAGAACACAGCGTCATGTGTTGGGTGGTTCGGGAATTGCGCGAGCTTACAAGCGTATCGCATTCGTAACAACTGTCTTCGGGTAGCCAGCGAAGGTTCGTTGGCTTCCACAAGCAAGCTGGCTGTCGGAGACGTACGAAATGCACCAGTAATGATTCTCAACGCAGCATGATGGACCGCATTCAGTGTACGTTTTACGGACTCAGAGGCACCATCATATACAAAACACGCATAGTCCAGCTTGGAACGTATCAGTGAACGGTATAACAAAAGTGTTTTCCGATCTGCTCCGTAGGATGTTCGTGCCACACATTTCAATATGTTCAGTGTCTTAAAACGCTTGTCACGCAGAATGATAACCCCGAAGAGGGGCACCGGCCTCGGTCGGTGTAGGGGACTAGCGCCCCCTCGGGTCCCAGCTCCGGTAACGGGTGGACAGCGCAAGCTGGTCCTCTCAGGGCGTAGCGACCCTGCCGGTACGTGAGCTCCTGCTCCTTGTCCCGCCCGCTCCCTCCACACTACCCGCACTCCCGCATCCGGCCCTATCACCACTCCCCATCCTCGTTTTATTGGGGTCGCCGTGCCCCCTCGCCCACGTCCCCGGGTTGATCGGATCCTGGTGGCTGAGGGGCGCGTCGTGCGGGTCAGTCACGGCGCGCCCCAACACTCCACTTTGGCCAGAATATCCGGGGGCGTGGGGGGCCCGTGGGGCCCCACACGGGTCTAGCGGCTTGTCACTCGCGTTGCGGTTGGGTGCCCCTTGCGGGTCTCCGCTTGGGGCGCCTGGCCGCGCGCAGCAGCTTAAGGGGTCAAGGGGCGGCGGCGCTGAACCACAGTCAGGATAGGGAGGGGTCTCCCCGGTTACACCTGGCCGTGTGGGAGGCGTCGTTCGCCCCGTATAGCACCGGGGTAGCCCTGGCGGTGACCACCTCCCGAGGGAGTGTTGGGCCGTCCCCTTGTTGGGCTCCGAGGTGGGTGGGGAGCCTCGGTGCCGAAATGAAAACCACCTTTTATGGCTTCTTCTAACACTAAAAACACCCGTCCTCCGAAAGGGGGACGGACCTCGATAGCCCCAGGGTGCAGAGAGGAATCTGCGCCCTCCGGTCCCCGTTTCAGGGGCGGAACGGCTGCGACAGGTTTGGAAAAATTATAAGATGTGACAAGCTTCGGGATGGGAAAATAGAAGTAGAGTTCGCTAGCGGTCTGGAGGCAACCAGGGCCATGGCAGCCAAGGAATTTACGTTTACCGTTCGGGACGAGACTGGCAAGCATGAAAAGACCGTGTCAATATCAGCCATACCACATAAGACCAAAAATTCGTCCAGGGGCGTAGTCAATTGTTTCGATCTTCGCGACGTCGCCGGGGACGAGATAGTCGAGGAGCTCTCAGAGTTTGGTGTGACGAGCGCTCGCAGGATCCTCGTCAGACGGGGAGGAGAGCTGCTGCCCACCAACAACCTCATTCTGACGTTTAGTTCCACCGATTTGCCTACCGAGATACGTGTTGGATACGCTCGAGTGAAGGTTCGCCCTTATGTGCCTAACCCCATGCGGTGCTACCAGTGCCAGCGATTCGGCCACACCAAGCTCCACTGTCGTAACCGTCCAGCGTGTGGTAAATGTGCGTCATTCGAGCACACGAGCGAAGCTTGCACCTCTGCGGAACCCCATTGCGTGAACTGCGGCAAGGACCAAATCCCGCACACGACGTATGGCCGTACATGTCCGGCCTACGCGAAAGAAAAAGAGATTATATCGATCAAAACCTCTAGAAATGTCTCTTTTCGTAAAGCTCGTGAACTTTACAACGACAGTCATCCAAAAACATCGTATGCGTCCAAAGTGAAAACTTCGTTCCCACAAAGTAATGCCATCGAGCACATGACGGCCGTTCAGTTCGTGGGACTTCTGAGGTCGTTTGACCTGTCGGTTGTTCCCTCGGTCCGAACGCCCGACTCCCAGTCGGCACCCCAAGCTCCCTCTCCGCCGATCGAGCAGTCGGTGGACGTCGCACCGCTGGCCTCCTCGGCGCGCGCCGGATCACCAGCGGGCGACGGTTGGACGACGGCTCGGCGTGGTCGGAGTCCCCGCGCGCCGCCGGCCTTGCCTTTGTCTGCGACCCAATCGGTCCCTTTGCCACAGACACCGCAGCTTTAGAGCACATGGCCTCCTTTGACGGGTACAAGATGACTTATACAGATGGTTCGAAGACGGATGCAGGTGTAGGGTGCGCTTTTGTGTGCGGATCGACCACACGGTCATTCACACTGCCTTCACACGCGTCGGTCTACACTTCCGAGCTTATAGCCATTAGCAAAGCTCTCTGTTTTATTGAAGTGGACGATAGCAATCTGCATTTAATTCTTTCCGACTCCTTGAGCAGCCTGCTGGCTGTTAGCGGCTTCTCCCCGTCGAATCCACTTGTTCAGGACATTCAATCTCGCCTTAGCTCACTGGATCGAGCAGGAAAAACGGTCGTTCTATGCTGGATCCCAAGTCACGTGGGGATATGCGGAAATGATCTTGCTGACGCGGCAGCAAAGCGCGCTACGACAGGGACTAGAATTCCTATAACACCACTACCTGCTCAAGACATGTACCCCGCAGTGTCGCTGTTTATGCAGAAGCGATGGCAGTTCTACTGGAACTCGCTGAGCGCCAACAAGCTGCAGTCGGTGAAACCCCGCATTGGATTATGGCAGTCGTGCTTTCGGGACAATAGGGTGGAAGAAGTTGCCCTTTGCCGGTTACGCATAGGTCACACATATGCTACGCACCGTCACCTGCTATTGGCTGGCGACAGACCATGCTGCGGTCGATGCTCTGATCCACTGACCGTGCATCACGTACTGGTCGCTTGCCGCCACCTTACGGCAACGAGAGCGCAGTTTTTCGGACGCCACGTCCAGAGTCGAACGCTATGCGACTTTTTAGGGGATTCTTCGAACATCGTCGGGTTTGGTAAAGTGCTCCAGTTCCTTCGCGCTATAGATTTTCCTGTAATCTTCTCATCATGATGCTAGGGCCGATCATCATGGCTCTATAGGGTGACCTGATTGATGCACTTCTCTGATTGACGGCTCTGCATGAATCGATAGTTATGGGCGCTGCATGACCTTTAGCAGTCGATGCGCCCTAAATCCCCAAATAATCATCATTATGCACCCAGCTGACGTAGCAAATGAAATCGCCCGCGCATTCTCCGAACGGTGTGGTAACGGCAATGCCGTCCCGCAGTTTATGCGTCACCGGATCCGCTGCGAGGCATCCCCTGTCGACTTCAGCACGACGGAGCAGATGTCGTATAACCGACCTTTTACAATGGCCGAACTAATTTCCGCGATCGGATCGCTGCGCAATGTGGCAGAGGGTCCAGATCTAGTTCACAACGCCATGCTTAAGCAACTTCCCACTTCAGTAGTTGAGGCCCTCTTAGCGACGTACAACAATCTCTGGGAGAATGGAGGTTTTCCGGAGTCGTGGCGTGAGTCACATATTGTCCCTATGCTCAAGCCTGGTAAGAGTGGGGCTGACCCTGCTTACTATCGCCCTATCTCACTGACATCATGCGTTTGTAAGTTGATGGAACGTATGGTAAACGTGCGTTTGTCGTGGTTTTTGGAGCGGTACAACGTTTTTACGGCTGCTCAATGTGGATTCAGAAAAAATCGCAGTACCATTGACCATCTTATAGCTCTCGACGCAGACATTCGCACCAGTTTTAGGGAAAAGCGACATGTTGGCGCTGTGTTTTTTTATGTTGAAAAAGCTTATGATACGACGTGGCGTTACGGCATCCTGAAAAAAGCTCTTTCATTATGGCATTCGAGGAGCCATGGGCACGTTCTTAGCGAACTTTATGACCGATCGTTCTTTCAGAGTTCGTGTTGGCTCACACTTCTCGGATAGGTACCAACAAGACAATGGCGTGCCCCAGGGTAGCGTTTTGAGCGTCGCTCTGTTCGCGGTTATTATTAACGATATTGGTGACTCCCTTCCAAAGTCGGTCAGCCGCTCTCTCTTCGTGGATGACGTCGCCATCTGGTATGCCTCGTCAAACTTTGCCTCTTTGGAACGTCGCTTGCAGTTGGCTGTGATCAGCCTGGCAAGATGGAGCGTTATAAACGGACTACGTTTCTCGACCTCGAAAACAGTTGCTATGCACTTTTGCAGACGACGTCGTCAATGCCCCGCTATGGCTTTAAGGCTGTACGGCCAGACCATCCCAAACGAACCCAGTACCCGCTTCTTGGGTCTGCAGTTTGATAACCGTTTATCGTATGGGTCACATTTGAAAACCCTACGTGACAACTGTTTTAAAGCATTGAACATATTGAAGTACGTGTCTCGAACATCTTATGGAGCGGACAGAAGAACACTGCTACTGCTATACCGCTCACTTATACGTTCAAAACTTGACTATGGCTGTTTTATTTATGACCGTGCGCCGAGTGCCAGCAAACGTTTATTAGACACCGTGCACCATACCGCATTACGCATTGTGACGGGGGCATTCAGGACGTCGCCAGTTGCTAGCCTTACCGTGGAAGTTAATGAACCGGCGTTGGCACTGAGAAGGGAAATGCTTGGCATGCGGTACTTTTGCAAGCTGGCTCAATTTCCCAACCATCCGACTCACCGAGCAATCTTTTCACGTCATGTGGAAAGCAAGTTCCAAAGTAGCGGAAGGCTGTCCGCTATTCCATTTGGTGTCCATATGAAGAAGCTGTTCCGGGAAAGCGACATAAGGTTGCGTGGTGTGCTGAGGTCGCGTCCCGTATTAGTGCCTCCATGGGAGCTAATCTCGCCAAAAGTGGATGTATCCCTTTCATGCACAAGCAAACAGGGAGCGATCCCATGCGACCTGAGATCGAAGGCTCTGGAGCACATCGGGTCGTACATAGGTTTTCAAGCCACATATACTGATGGGTCGAAGACGGAGGTAGGTGTTGGTGCTGCATTTGTGAATGACCAAGCCACCCGGTCCTTTTCTTTACCGAAACACGCCTCAGTTTACACGTCCGAGCTCGTTGCAATCAGTAAAGCCCTATGCTTCATCGAAGTTGGTGAGGGCAACTCACACGTGGTCTTATCCGATTCTTTGAGCAGCCTGTTGGCTCTGACAACCTATAACCCACCTTGTGCCATTATACAGGATATTTTAGTTCGCCTGACAGCGCTGGATCTTGCTGGTAAAACTGTCGTCTTATGTTGGATACCGAGTCATGTGGGTATCGCAGGTAACGAGCGTGCTGACGCGGCCGCAAAACGGGCAGCGCGTGCACCTTGCACCCGTTCTTTACCCTTGCCGGCAAGGGACTTTTACCCTGCAATCGCGACCTTTGTGAAGGCGAAATGGCAGCGCTGCTGGGACGCCATTGTAAACAATAAGTTAAAGATGATCAAGCCACAACTGGGTCTATGGTCTTCAAGCTCACGTAAGCTGAGACACGAAGAAGTAACCCTCAGCAGGTTACGAATTGGCCATACGCACGCAACACATAGCTACCTTTTGTGCGGTGAAGAACGCCCTAAATGTCCTCGCTGTGGTGCGTCACTTACGGTTCGCCACGTTATTCACTCCTGCCCACAGTTCAGAGAAGAGCGGGCACTTTACTTCGGACGAAATGCGTCAGGTCTTACCTTTTCAGACCTTATTGGTGACGATTCTCGCATGCTTGGCACCGGACAGCTGTTTTCATTTTTGAGAAGCGTAGGATTCACAGCCATTTATACGCCACGGAAAACTCTTAGCTGTTATGGGCGCAAAATGACCCTAGAAGTCGACGCGCCCTAAAACCCCAATCATCATCAGGATCCCTTCATCACTACCTGCGGACCCAACGGGGTACGGCGAGACCCAGATAAGACTGAGAAGCTGGGGCCGAGGGGTTGCTAATCCCTACTCTGAACGAGTCAGAGCCCTTGCGGGAGGCACGTTTCGTCTGGCCCCTCCTCTTTGGCCGGAAGGGGCGCTTTACAAGCCTCCCCAACCGCCCGCAGGATCATTGGGGCACGCAATCCCCCCCCCCCCCCCACCACGGAAAGGTAGTGCCTCACGGGGGGGGGGGTGGCCACGTACCTGGCCGGTCGCCTTCGTCCGAGGCCTCCTTCTCCGCTGGCGCTGGTTATGACGATGCCGACGAGGGGGACGATGCCGCAAATGTCGAAGAAGACTCTTCTTTTCAGCGCGTCGTGCCCGCCGCCTCTGGCGCCGCGCCTCTCACAGCGCCTTCGCCTTTTTCGACATTGTCCAAGCCTGTGGGAAGAATAAAGGTGATATTAGGCTTGGCAGCTCAGACGTCATGAACGCTTCGCGACACCCTATGCCAGCAAAGGGACCGACACGCCTGTTCCTGCAGGAACAGCTGTTCACATTCCGCCTGGGAAGGCGATGTTACACCTGCCTGAGAAGGCTGGCCCATGGACAGATTGGTAGCATCTTCTCGTTCCCTTCTGTTTCTTTGTTTTCTACAAACTTGTTTGGCAGTCTCTTCCCTTCCTTTAAGTCTAAGTATTCTAAGAACTAAGTCTAAGAGCACTCACCCAGTTTTTGTCCGGCCCACCAGCGGGTTGAAGCACCGGCCTTTCCACTTCAATGAGGTACTTCAGCCTTTCCCAGATTTCAGGTGTTGTGGTGATTTGCAGGTGGGCGGTCAGTTCGGTTTTCAAATGGTAGCAGGCAGTGAGTTTCATTGGACGGCCGTCCACTTCGGCGGTCTGAAAGCAAAACACCAGGTTTTGCGTTTCAGGGCACAGCAACTATTGCCTGGTGACACAGTTATTTATGTCGACAGCATTACTTTCCGTTGCGTCGGCAGGCAGGCACTCACCTGAGCGCTGTAAACGTCCTCAACCCAGACGCCTATGACATGGCTGGGTCGTCCAGCACAGGCCAAGAACATCCAGGTTAATAGGCCGTCACGTGCCGCTCGTCGTCGTTGGCATCGTCCCCCTCGTCGGCATCGTCATCACCAGCGCCAGCGGAGAAGGAGGCCTCGGACGAAGGCGACCGGCCAGGTACGTGGCCAACTCTCCTCTCTGTGTGTGACGGCAGACTGGATGTAAATGTCCTTCTGCCGCAGCTGCCATACCCGTGTGCTTACCCGGGCCGTGTCAAACGGATGATTCTGTGTTGCAGCGTTCAAGCCGCGGCAGGGCCGGCCTCGCAGCGCCGCCTCGAATCGCCAGAGGCACGCGTGCCGCCTGCCGCCGTGCCGCGGCGCCACCTACCTCAACCTTACGCGGCACATAAGGATTGTCCATCCGCGGGTAACCGATGGACTGCATGCTGTGTGCGGTTGTTGTTTGCCTTCACTTGCGTGTGCGTGTTTCTGCCGTCGATGCGTCATGCATGTCCACAGCAGTGCTGTCTGCCTTATCTTTTCAGCTGTCGACTTGTGTTTCAGCTTGCCGCACGCGCGCCGGAGGAGGCAAAGCGTCTCCGAGCCGCCGAGGCCGACTGCCCTCCAGCAGCGGCCAAGCGCACCCGGCCACGCTGGCGCTGCCCGTTCGGCGCCAGTGACGGGCAGCACCAGTGCCCGGCGGTGGTCATCAACCTAACACGACACCTGCGGGTGCAGTTCCCGGCAGGCAGCCAGGGTGTTTCTGTGATCGTTTGGACGTGCGTCTCACTGTCTCAACACCGCGTGTTGTCGCCTTTTCGACGTATTCGGTGTGGCATCGTGAACCGTCTGTCCACAGTTCCAACAAGCACACAGTAATGCGAAACGAATCGACCTCATGGTATCGGCGAAGTCTGAACAGCCACTGGTGGGACTGGAGGCCATCTCGGACCGCTTCGCGATGTTCCTGCGTGGGGTCCGGGGTGGCTTCTGCAACGCAACAAAGGTGCAGCGCCACATGCCGGCGGTAAGTGCCACCGATGCCGGTCTGCTTCCATTTACTTGCTGCCATCTGTTGTCACTCGTGTTTTGCGTGTCATCTTGTGTTAGCTTCGTCCGCCTGATCCGTCCCATGCAGCGGGGCTCAGAGTTGTGCTGGCGGCGAGCTGTCGGGTCACTGCGGTGCCTAATGCAGCCTCGTCTGCAGCTCCATCTCCTGCGGCCAGAGCTGCTCCCAGGCCGTCGTGCGGAGAACATGATGATGCCGAACATCATGGCGGCCCTCTCCGGCCCCCAGCTGGCCATGGAGGGGCCAGACGGCTGGCTGCAAGCCCAACAGCGAGCCCGCAAGATGACAGCCGGCACGCGAAAATCTTCGATCCGCTGCGTGTCCCTGCTCATCACCTACTGCGCAATAGACTGCGAAAATCTTGGTCTGCAGGCGTGGCTGCCGCGCATGCCGGTAAGTGCCATCAACAGGTGATGTGTCGATTGTGTTGTCTGTCACGTCATCGTCACCGTTCGCTAATGACACGTAATTCACAGGCCGTGCAGGAGCGGCTGACGGCATGGCAGCGCTCGATGAAACGTGACGATTGGGAGCAGCGCCGGCACCACGAAACCCAGGCGGCACGCTTCGTCGACGTGCAAGTCGAGCAGTGCTTCCTGAGCGTAAGAGATTGACTGCCGCTATGCGGTTGTGAGTAATGTTCATGTGTGGCGCTTGTCTCGTGATCTATGTGTCAGTACCGTCCGTGTCCCGTCTTAGCCCAGCTGCTGTCATTGTTCGGCGTGCATTGTCCTGGTGTGGTCGTGGCTGGATGACATGCCAGTCTTGTGTTTATTCAGCTGTCTTTTGACTCACAGTCCGAGTACGTCGCCGCGCTGACGGAGTGCCCGCCGGTCGGCGAGTTCCCGCCACTGCCGGCCGAGGCCCGCCAAGCGCGTGACGATCTGATGACAGTGCTCATGCTCCTCTGCGCCGGTCGGCCCAGCAACGTCACTGGCATCGCCGCCTCTTCGGTGCCCGAGGCCAGGGTGAGCAGGCTGGCTGGCCGATGTCTGACTGACTGTTGCGCGCCACTTGTTTTGCGTCGATCTGTCTACTGTCTGTCGTGTCTGTTGCTGAAATGATGGTTTGAACGGAACATCATGCGTGTCTGCAGATCGTCCGCCCCGATGGCCAGCTGCGCCGGCTCACCAAAAACTACAAGTTCAAAACAGCGGCCAGCGCTACCCTAGAGGTGGCCGTCAGCCCGTCAGCGCCGGCTGCTGCACCACATCTCTGCGGAGTGACCGATGCTGCTGACGCCGGACACCGCCAGCAGCGACAGGGTATGCACAGATACCGGGCAGCAAACGCCGGACCGATTACAGTGTTGCCAGGGACAACCAGGTGCGCCTTGCACCCTCACCTGTGTGATCAAGCCATTTGTTTGTTCACAGCTCTTCATCGGCACGGGCGGCGGCCCGATGTCCAGCAGTAGCGCCGCCAAGGCGTTCAAGACGGCATGGCGGCGGGCCCTGCCGGACGGGGACGTCCCCGACCTAACCGCCAGCGGCGCGTACTACGGCGCCGTCGTGAGCACGGCGGCGGCAGAGCGGGAGGCGCAGGGGTAAGTGCACACCTGCCAGCCTCTACTCTTCGCGTCTCACCCGGCGTGTCACCCCAAGGTAGCCAACATGGCCAATGTCGGTGTGTTTGCTCCGATGTGTCAATGTAGCCACCACATGCAGCCGTTTGTCATTGTCAGCTATACTTGAACGAAACGCCGCGCTTTACGAGCTGACATGTGTCTGAAGCCGCATGCAATTGTGTTTGTTGCAGGGACGTGGCCGCGGCAATGGGCCACTCTGTGGCCACCGCGTCTTTGGCCACCGCTCGTGTACGTCTTTGACGTCACAGGGAAAACGTCCCGTCTCGCCGGCATGGCTCGAGCGGCAGCGGCTGCGTGCCGCCGGCGTCAAGTAGCACCGGCTCCAGCCCCCCAGTCGACGCGTGTCCCGGCGGTGACGACGTCGGCAGAGCACCAGTCGGCAGCAGCAGCAGCAGCGAAGAAGACGACCTGCCGGCCGACGGCGGCTCCATTGTGCCGCCCTCCGAGGCGGCCCTGCCGGTGGGGTGGCAGGAAGACGTGGCCGGCCTTATGCCTGCCAGTCTCGCTGCTCAAGACCAGCCAGAGGCTGCCAGCCGACAACCATCGCCCCAGCACGGCATCGGGAACTCCTCCCCAACTTCGCCTCTGCCGGCCCTAACCACACCCCAGCCCAGCGCCCCCCGGGCTAGCGTCACCGCGCCACCGGTGATCCGACGGCTGGTCTGGACGTCACTCGAAACTAATGCGGTGATGCGTGCGGCCTCCGATTACATCTGTGGCCGCACCAACGCGTACCACCACCACATGGTTGTCGAACAACCCGGTGTGTCTGAATGCTCGCACCGCTTTAACCGGACCCAGATTTATGAAAAATGTAAATACCTCAGAAAAGTGTACAAACTGAGTAGTTCATAAGTGTGTGTTTGTGTGTTTGTGTGTGTTTTTTTGCGTGTGTCTGTACAGGAGAGACGGCCGTTAATTTTCTTTTTCATGGTTTTTGTTTTTGGTTTCATTGGAGTTTCATCGTTTTTTCGTAGTGTACGTGTTTGGCATGTTAAAATACAGAACTATATTTATTGTACCACATCTTTGGCAGGGAGAGTTCTGAAGTCCACAGATCTCAGTGACTGAATGTGCGTTGCAATAACATCCAGAAACATGAAACCATCGTTTACTTTCTGTTCGCATCTGCAGTTTTCACCGATCACGTGAAACAGGATAACACCGGTAACGGGAACGAGAACGGTGATCGGGAATATCTACATGCTACGTAAGTGTGTCAGTGACTATTTCATCGTCTTTAAAACATTCCAGCACGCCTAACTCCTTGAACGCCCGCCTCTTGTCCAGCAGAATGCCCCAAATCAATGCAAAAGTGAAATAAACGCATCCTTACGCCGTACAGTAACATTTACATCGAGTGGCTATCTTGCGAGATACGGCCATTATGGCCGCCAGGGCCGGGAATAGCTACATGGTACATACGAGTCACATTTCGATGCCCTACCAAACGGCGAAAAATAAAGATTAAGACATTTCAGACACACTTTTTTTACTCAGATCTGGAAAGCTGGTAAAACAGCCCGTAAGCCACTTTGTTTCGGAAAAGAAAAAAAGAGGGAAAACGTCACCTTTTGTACATTGATTGACTGTGTCCAAAGTTGTCGCTCTATTACAACGCGATCTTGTCAGCTTGTAAACAACAATGTCAGGTAGCTATAGATATCATAAGTTTGCGGATACGCCGTCGGGAACGGCCTCCAGGTGTAGGGGTAAGTGCACACCTGCCAGCCTCTTCAGTCTTCACGTTTCACTCGGTATCAATCCAAGGTAGCCAACATCGTCAATGTCGGTGTGGTTGTACAGCCCCGAGGTGTCAATGTATCCGCCACATGTGGCTACTTGTCATCGTCCGCGATGTTCGAGCGAAACGCCGTGTTTTTGAGTTGGCATGTATCTGAACCCGCGTGCAGATGTGTCTGTCGCAGATATGTGGCCGTGGTGATGGCCCACTTCGTGGCCACCGCCCGGCAGGTGCACAACGTGTTCGACTCCTCCGGCACGTCGTCGCGCCTCGCCGGCATGGTCGTCCTGGAGCGGCAGTGGCTAATGGTGAAAAAAAAGCTCCGCCCCGGCTCCAGCGCCCTCTGACCCGCCGTGGCAGCAGCGCCGGTGAGCCGGCTGCTCGTGTGGACCACACTTGTGACCGGTGTGCGGCAACGTGCGGCGTCCGAGTACATCCTGGGTCGCATCAACAGCTACCAGTATCGTACGGTGATGGAGCAGTCTGGAGTGGCGGAGTGTCAACCGGTTTCACTGGACGCAGATTTACGAAAAGTGCAACTATATCCGTAAACGGCATAGCAAGACACCGGCACAGTAAGACACCGCTCCACAAGTACATCGCTCTGCCGCTGGTGACGCTGGTGCCGTAACCAGGGCAACGGCACCAGCGACCAGCTGCCAGCCGACAGTTACCGCCGTCCGACTCGGCCCTGCTGCCCGAGTGGCGGTGAGAGATCGCAGGACATCCGCCAGCACTAGTGTCGGCAGGCGGTGAGCTAGGCAATAGCGCTTCCAATGCGACGCGGCAGCAGCCGCCCGCCCACCGCCAGTAAGGCCTCGGCTGGTCACCGAGGAGACCACAGCAATCCAGCAGGCTGCAGCCGACTTTATTGTCGGGAGAGAGCCAATATCCTGCCCACACCATCACGCCCAGCAGGAGGCCCTGTCTGCGTGTTTTGGGGTACACGTTTAAGAAAAGTGCGCGTACCTGAAGAAGTCACAACTCACGGGAGCCTGCAAATGTCAATGGTCGTTCCTCTTCCGTGTCGCTCTGTCGTCATATGTTGCTCTGACATGTAGCTATGTAACTTGTATGGCTGCGTTGCTTCCTTGTGTGTAAACGTGTGTTGCTTGCCAAGCGCTTGAAGCATGCAGTGCCAAGACAGATAAACCGCTAATCCATTTCATATTTTACGAAGTTCAAGAGACGCTGACATTGGGTGACTAAATGTCGCCCGTGACGGCTATGAACAGAATGACCTATCAAAAGTACTTTCTACTATATATCTATTACTCTTTGCAAGTGCTTCCGGTGATGCCATGGGACTGGAACGGTGTCATCACGCTTCTCGGGGTGCTATGGGATTGGCTTGGGTTACCACGCTTCTTGGAGAGTATTTTCGTCGCAACATTTAACAGCGATACGCCGGGAACGTAAGCAGCTGCCTTCATGCATAAGGAACTCAGTCGGTTTTTCACGCCTTTCACACGTAGCAGCACACCACAAGAAAACACACGTGTGCATCTCGTCCGAAAAATAAACCTCGAAATTCGCTTGGAGCTGCACTATGCACGTGTTTGAATGTCATGCAGTGCATTTTACAGAATCAGATACCATGAGGCATCAGGGTAATATGGCGGCCGGCCTCGTTACCGGTCCTGCCGACCGCGCGTGTCGCGGAGATATTGGCCGACAAGGGCTGGCGAGGGAGACAGCCGGCCGCCCCGAGCAGACGCCCCGTGAGCTGGGGGCGAGCGGGCTCAGCAGGGCCGACGGCAAAACAGGGGAGACATAGTCCCACAAACGGTCACGGATCAAGCCCGAGGACGAGTCATATCAGCGGGCTACAAGAGTCTGAAAAATCAATCTTGCATTTCTCACACTTGCCGTGCACGGCGGTGAGAAGAAAAGGCGGACAAAAGTGCAAGCAAGGACGACGGGAAACCGACAAGCAAATCCGGAGACCAAACAAGCCACTCTCCTTAGTATAGCCCCAGCAGGATAAAGACGACGAGAGATGCGCCCACTGTAAAAGGGGCGGTAGGTCATTGGCTGGGAGTTCTCACATGAGCATTTTAGCGGTTAGTGTGCTGCAAACATTGCTGAACACATCCACTGGAAAAGGCAAGGCAACTAGAATGTATTAATTGTCACGGTAGTGAGGAGGGAGTCCAATGAGATTTGTAATTCGGGAGCAGCTGCTTTAAATAGAAATGCTATGGCATTGAGAGGGATTTCGGGAATACTTTTATTACCAATCAAAACGAACGCGTCTGATCTGACCGCAAAAGGAAGGTAATGAAAGGTGACATATTCTCTCCAAGGACACGTCAAGACCTTTGGCCCATGGAGAATGCAAGCAAATACGCCGTGTCTTTGTCATCAGAGTATCTATTATCGGGCAACGATGCGGGTGCGGCCGTACGCCGGTGCAGGTGTAGTCTTACGCCGATGCGGGTGTGGCCTTACACTGATGCGGGTGTGGCCTTACACAGATGCGGGTGTGGCCTTACACCGATGCGGTTGTGGCCTTACACCGATGCACCAGATGACACCCGCGTGACGCCTCTGCCTCCATCTTATGGCAGACTATATCTACACACACACACACACACACACGCACACACACACACATATATATATATATATATATATATATATATATATATATATATATATATTCTACGTGCTATAATATAAAGGCTACAAGGTAGTTTATAAGTAAACTCGATACCAGGAATACAAACTGTTGTAACCAGACTAACCTACACTTGATATTTCACTTGGGGTTTCACCAGCTTTCGAAAGATATAAAAAACTATAGTTTTGAAGATAAGAACGTTTGCGATGTTTGACGT